ATATCCGCTACTTCTGACAAACAGATATTTTGAACATATCCGCTACTTCTGACAAACAGATATTTTGAACATATCCGCTACTTCTGACAAACAGATATTTTGAACATATCCGCTACTTCTGATAAACAGATTTTTTTAATATATCCGCTACTTCTGACAAACAGATTTTTTGAAAATATCTACTACTTCTGATAAACAGATTTTTTTTATATATCCGCTACTTCTGGCAAACAGATATTTTGAATATATCTGCAACTTCTGACAAACAGATATTTTGAACATATCCGCTACTTCTGATAAACAGATTTTTTTTATATATCCGCTACTTCTGGCAAACAGATATTTTGAATATATCTGCAACTTCTGGTAAACTGTTAAGAGCAAACCTGAAAAATTATTCACAGCTGGTAAACTTTTCAAGTGAAATACGATTATTCATGTTTTTTCAACTTGTAAATGGGAAAAAAGTAAAATGCTTTCATGCGACTTAAAATGTTTGGAATGCTTGTCAGACATTTCTATTCAGATTTCCAACACAGATGTCTGACTGTCATTTACTTAATACAACTTGTCTCAGCCTGTTGCTGTAGATCATAACAGTTGTGTTATTTTTGACCACACTCCCTTGTAAAAACTGTGTACAGCTCTTCCCACTAGATAAGTAGTCCCCATGGCTTACTATGCTATTGTCATCTAGCATCCAGTAGTCCAAGTTCCAAGAGAAATAAAAGTTATTATAATAAAATAGTTAGGTCCAAAAGTTTTTACCATCAGTACCAAACAAAGTTTTGTTGTTTAGTGTTGTTAGCCACTCAGAACACGTGAAACAGCAATGAAATTCAAGTGAATAACACCCTATATTAGAGAAGACCTTCGGTGATGTTATCTGTATTAACAGCTACTGTAAGCTGAAAGTGACCAGATGAGATCAGCCCTAACAAGGTACAGCATTTAGTAAAAGAAAAAACATTGTAAAGTAAACATAAAACAGGAGTAGTTAGTTCATGCATGACGTGAGGTGGAGCAGTTAGTAAGCGCTCAGCATTTAGTCAGCAAGGTTTAAGATTACTATATACTTACATACTGCCCATTCTAGAGGACAAGCAAGCAGTAGGGAGCATGTAGTCCCGATCTCTGACTGTATTTCCAGCTGACTCCAGGTCTCCAGCTCCCTCGGATGTCTCAGCCATTGGGTGTAGAGGGACGGAAAAGTCTCTTGTTGGTGTGTCGGGGCCAGAGTCACAGTTGTTTACATAGAGTAACTCCATCTGAGTAGTGGTCCTTCTTCGGGCCTTTGCAATTATTGCAAAACAAATGGTCGTGGTTAGTTAAGTAAGGAACAGGAATTGGTTGTCATTTAGCAAAGCTTTCATCCAAAGTTACTTATTAGATTCAGTCCAACTGAGATTAGGGGTCTCGATAAAGGTCACATTGATCCCAGCTCATGGATCACCCTTTGAATGGTTTGCACCTAAAATCGCTTGCTTACCAAGCTTTGGGTAAGGTAAAATTAAGGTAATTTCTCCCATACCTTAGTCCTAGATTTAGTCTCGCCACATAACTTCATGAGGTCTGAGGCCAGGGTGCTGAATTATGGGAAAAGATATTGACTTAGGTTTGCTCATTCAATGAAGCACAGTAATGAAAACAAACATTTGTCATTAGCAGATTAACTTACTTTCCTTCCACTGCAGGACTTAGGGTTGACTCGTCGCTACTACTGTTATCACCATTTTCTAATGTAGAAAAGAAATAAGAGAGTGTACATTAAAAGAACCACAAATGGGGCATTTAATTTACATCAGAAAATTCCTTGGAAGGACTTGCAAAATTGTTGAATTAAGGCAAAATCACGCCAACGCTGTTATCTGTGATGTTGAAAAGAGGCTTTTGAGAGTGTGGTAGTAAAAAAAAAGAAGCAAATGAGGATACATTTAGCACAGCGCTACCATGCTAGTTTCCTCAGTTGCCGTGAAACGCTGATCCAAACCGGTTTCTGATATCAGATGTGACCAGAAAGAGGCTATCATCAAAGTTAGAGCAAAAAATGTTGTGGAGAAGAGGAGTGAGGGAGCACAAATGGTAAATCATTCAAAACAGAGGGAAACCATTAGTCGTACATGGTCTGGAAGAGATGCTTGTTTTCCTGCTGCCAGACTTTGATGTATGTTAATGCTAATAAGTAGCATGATGCTAGCTGGGGATTGATGTTTTAATATGGTAAGAACAGGTAGAGGAGGTGTGGACAGATGAACAGAAGCCTCATGCACCTGCGGACGGGACCGCTAGCCAGTGTTTAGTCCGAAGAGGTAGACCCATGCACTCATTACAGAGAGAGTGTGGCTACTGGTACTCACCCAAGGGCATGTTACCTAGCTCTGTTTCAAAACGGCCAACAGGGGAACAGAAAAAAGGCAACAGAGAAATCAAACATACTTTTCCCCAGATCAAAACAAAAACAAATGTAACACAAAGAAATGAACTTGTATGGTATGATGGGATTCATGGATATATACCCTAGCCCTAATCCTGTACCACGATACAATGTGAATATGGAAACGACACTTTAAAAGGTCTCACTCTTTTTAACCAACACATTTCATAATCACAATTTTAAAATTTTCTGATATTTCCATGTGACCACTGAAAGCCTGTGTTTCACTTATTCCCTGTATTCGGCTACCTATTTAGTCTTAAACAACACACAGGCCAGTAATTTGAAAGGGCAGCTCCAGTCTGATTGGTTGGGTGCTAAGTAACTTCTGGGAGTAAAGGGGTGTGAATGTTGCATCAGTCTGCAGTCAAACATTTTTCCAAGCATGTTGGCTGCAGTGAGTGCTTGCAATGAGGAATTATTTTTCCAAAGTTTGCTTTGATTATTTGCAAGAGTTTGCTTATTGTAAATGAGTACAAATGTGAAAACAAAGAAAATATATCTGAATGAAAAAGTAGCTAGTACTTATTATTTTTCCACTAATTTGCTTGGTCATTACAACTTTTCATGGGGACTAGGGATGTACATCTCCATAAATGAGGCCGATGCAATATGCAAATAATGAGTTGGCATTGCGTTACAAATGCCAACTGGTATCTGATACACACCTTTTTAAATCAATGCATCACATCGTTAACTTTTATGTTGATGCACCGATGCGAAGTGGTGAATCTTACAATCCCAAATGGGGACTAATTCATTGTTATTTGATTGAGCTACCACTGTATTGTAGGTCCGTTACTGTGGTTTTGTTTAAGGCAGGGGTTACGATCCTGCTCCTGGAGGTATATGTCCTGCAGAATTTAGCTCCAAACCCAATAAAACACTTGAAATAGTTAATAAAGGTCTTCAGGACCACAGCTAGAAACGTTCAGGCAGGTGTGTTTGAGCATGTTTTAGCCAAACTCTGCAGGACGTTAGCCCTCCAGGAGCAGGATTGGTCACTGCTGATTTAAAAACGAACTCTGGTCAGACATGTGGTTCAGACCATAGGTCTTCAATCCTGCTCCTGGGGACCCACTGTCCTGCAGAGTTCAGCTCCAACCCTAATCAAATACACACGAAACAGCTAATCAAGGCCACCTGTAAAGTCACAAGCCAGGAGTGCTAAAGCAGGTTGGAAATAAAACTTTGCAGGATGGTTGGTCCCCAGGAGCAGGGTTGAAGACCTATGGTTTAGACGATCTCTTCCAGTCTAAACAGGTGGTTCTTGGGCAACATAAGCTGCAATGTGGACCAGACTTAATGCTGATGGTGAGACCACAAACTAAACACACCATAGAGTTCTGTGTTGTAGTCTAGACCAGCTCATTTGAGTCTAAGTACAGACTCAGACCTGAGTAGGTTGAGTGCGAGTCAAGACCGAGACAATTGGAGGGTCGAGTCCGAGTCAAGACTGATTCCAAATGCTCCCAAGAATAGTGAGACATTGGCTTACACAACTCCATGACTAGTCAACACAGACCCAACACATCAACTAGTGGCAGAACGAATCAACTAGTTGGTGCAACTCCTAGATCAGGAGTAGCCAATACCGCTCCTTGGAGGGCTTTCTGCAGACGTCAGTTCCAAACCTGCCCCAAAGCACATGCTTGTTATTTTTAAGTAATCCTGAAGACTTTGATTAACTAGTTCAGGTATGTTTTTTTTAAGATTTATTTTTGGCGTTTTTTGCCTTTATTACAATAGGACAGTGTAGACGAGACAGAAAGCGAAGTGGGAGAGAGAGGGTGGGTAGGATCTGGAAAGGTCCTCGAGCCGGGAATTGAACTCGGACGCCTGTAACGAGCACTTTTTGCAGAATCATAAAAAAGTCCCGGGTTTCTTAGGATTGGCAAAATTGGTAACTATTACCTCTTTTCTACTGGGGCTGGTGCAGAAGCAAGAGTGGAGGCTTTGCCAGGGCTCGTTTTCCAATGACCAATGACTGATCAAGACCAGCAAGATTTCAGGCTGGTTTGGAAACCGAATTTGGGCACCAAATATTTTTTTGTGTGTGGAAAAACACAGCCCACTTTCAGATTTGGCACTGGCACCATCCCCAGAAAAGCAGAATCTGAGCATTCTGGCATGCCAGCAGGGCTGAGCAGTACAGTCGAGGTCTCTATGTAATTCCTTGGGCCTGGGGGTCAAGGTGCTAAAGGATAAGCCCCAGTAAGAGTGTCCCTACCTTGCAGAGCGTTCCCCAACAACGCATCCAGTTCTGGGTTAAACTCTGCCTTCTCTTTCAGCATGTGGAAGAGCAGCTGGTTTTGGGTGGCACTGTTGATCTCAGTTTGCTTGAGACGCCCTTCCAACACCTTTATCTGAGATTCTTTCTGAGCAGCCTGCAGACCCTGAAAGCACACAATCAGGATGAATGACAAATGTGTTAAAGCTTGAAAAATGAATGAAACTGTATGAGAATTGATCTTTTCACTTTATAGAGTCTAACACAGAAGACCAAACAGGGTATTTTGTGACTGGATACCTTGTTGATAGCCATGGACATAAAATGATCCAGTAGGAATCGAGTTTCAGACAGAGTGCAGGAACCAACCACAGCCGAGACATCAACAGCATCACCCTCCTCCTACATATGAACGACAACAGTAAGCCCTCGATATAATTCAGTCAAACTCCATTTATACTCATTTCAATGGTTTGATTTAGGCTGCATTTACATTGCATGGTTACCCAATTTAAATTTTTTTCCTCAAACGTGGCACAGATCGGATATGACCCACAAACGTGTAAGCAGGAAAAAACACATGGATTTCGATATTCTCAGATCGGTTTCAGGCTTCATTCATATGTAGAAATAAATCTGAAGTGAATCGGATACGTGCATTTGAGTCTGCCATGTAAGCAGACAGATCGGATATTGCTGGGCAGACGCTTTCATGGTTTTCCCACGGAATTGAGCTACTTTTATACTGTTGTTTGATGGAGTGAATTCCCGACGGAGAGGAAAACCATGGAAAAAACATGAATGGACTAATTTTGATTAACAAGTAGTCTAGTTTTGTTTTGCAGACCTGGCAACCCTGTTTCCAGATCAGTATGTCTACCTTTGTTTGTTTTGCCAAGCGTATAGTGTAATTGCAGAAATTTAAAGAAAAATTCCAGTGGTTTAATACAATAATTAAAGAATACAGATCTAAGTAGTTTTATTGATTAAAATCAGATGATCAGAATTTGATAATTTCAGTTAAATGACCGAAACATTACAAAGGGTAATTTCAGTGATGGTACCTAACATCAGTGAAATAATTCAGAATCATTTCATTGAACTGATGCAGTGTCATTACAGTAAACTGATTCAGATCATCAGATTTAATGAATTAATTACATTTGTATCTTTGCTTTGTTGTATTTATTTGTGTTATTACTTGTAATTTGTTTAATTGTTCTTATTTTACTACTAAATGTTTTCTCTTTAATAATGTTTAAACTTTATATTAGTTAGGCTAGTAGTTTTTGTATCAAAATTGGAATTAAAAATTGTGAAATTTCACTTCTATTTAAAAATGTGTTCATAAAACAAGTGAAATACTACACAACTACTTCAGATATGTGGTCAAGCAGAACGCTACATTTATGAATGTAATGTGTGCATGTGTGTGTGTGTGTGTAAAGAAAGATTGAGATTAATCTTGTGATTACGAAATCGCAATATTGATCAAAAAATCGTGATCGTTTTTTGTCCATACCACACACAGACCTAGTTTATATGTGGTTGTTCATTGCTATAAAGTAAAGACGGATACATCTTACAAAAGATCTATCTAGTATAACCAAATTACATTTATTTTCATATTAAACATCACAACAGACAATTACCACTCAGTTTAGCACTTTCAAACATGATATTTAATCTTAAATTAATCATAAAAATATATTTATGGATGTACTGTATGCATGTGCATTACACATACATCATACACATACACATTCACATCATACATTAATATATAATTTATTTATTTACATAAATATATTATGTCATCATAGTTTAATAAACTGTACATGATGCAAGTGTTCCCTGGAGTAGGGAGCAGTGAACACTACGTAGTGATCCTGTCAATCGGAAAGCATCTAAAGCAGTTTCAGCCAACTGATTGCGAGTCGCCTCACCTTGGCTTCCTCCATCTGCATGATGTTGGCCTGGCATTCAGAGATGCTGTCGTTGATGTAGTCAATGTTGGCCAGCAGAGACTCCAGCTCCTCATTCAGAGACTGAACCTCTTTTTCTACCTCCGGTTCTTCTGCCAGCAGTCTCTCTCTCTTTCTGCCGATCTTGTCTCGCCGGCGCGTCAGCTCTTCACGTTGCTGTGAAAGGGATTTCAAATGACGAGAAGCTGAACAATTTTGTACATAGCCTTATTTTTCTTTTTCTTTTAGTAAATGTTATCTCCAGTGTTGGGGTAATGCATTACAAGTAACAAGTCACAGTATGTAATCAGATTACTTTTCTATATCACTATGAGTTACTTTTTCAAATAAGTAATGCGTGTTACTTTGTTTTCCCATGTATTCACTGCCAGCTCAGATAAATCGGTAGTAAATGCAGAGGCACTTCCTTCAGCCTGAGGCTTATTAATTTCACTTTTGGTGTTAAAGGGCCTTTACAATTGCCAACAATTACTTTAGATTTTTTTTTTGTTATTAAAAAGCAAATAAGCAAGCCTGGCCCAGCCCAGGTGACAAAAAGTAACGCAAAAGTAACGTAATGCATTACTTTCCATAAAAAGTAACGCAATTTGTTACTTTTTTATGTACTGTAATGCATTACTTTTAAAAGTAACTTTCACCAAAACTAGTTATCTCACAATTACATTGGCATTAAAGCAGATTTAACATTGTTAAGTAGGTAAAAGGTTGATTCATACCTTTAGAAGACGATTCATGTCGGTCTCCATGTTGGAAATGGTCATGCGTTGCATGATAATATCTGAGACACGGCGTTCCAGACTCTGCCATTTCCCACGAGCCACTCGGGTAGAGTACGCCCCAACCGGCCTGCGATGGTACAATCTAAAGCAAACAGTTGTCCGTCACTGCAGAATGAGGTCATCTCCAGTACACACATGACCGCACATGAAGCCTGTATAATGTACCTGGCTCCATTAGGTGCTCCTGAGGCCGAGTATGTGCGACCTGCAGGTGGTCTGTGAGAGAGGTCCTGGCTTGCCTCCAGCAGGTTCACCTTTCGTGTGACCTTTCCTGATATGGGTCGCACCTGTCTCCTCAGAGAGGTCACCTGAGACACAGCAGCAATCAGTACAGGAAACCTTGGGAAAATGCAGTTTAGCCTCTTCTAACTTACCAAAATGAACTGAGAGATTAAGAAAATTAAATATATCTAAATACCCAAATTGAAGGATCAATGTTTGTAGGGTAATTTTTCACTTACATAGTAGTAAATCTTCATAATGTTCAAATGTATTATATGATTTATTTAAGCACTTAGATAATAAATCTACAACTTAGAGGCTCCAAAAAGCATCTGGGAACTTATAGCATTTATCACAATTTTTAATTAGCTTTTATATATATATATATATATATATATATATATATATATATATATATATTTTTATTGATCTTTTTAGTCATTTTAATTTAATGTAGCTTTATATTATACTTACAATTATACTTATTTTTTTTCAGTTAGTTGCCAACGCATAGTGTATAGGTGCATCAGTGTAGTTTTAGTATTATTTATATAATATTATAACATTAAATCATTCGCTTTTATTTTAATATTTTCAGCTTTAGTTTAAGTTTTAGTAATTTTGTTATGTGCTTTTTAAATTGTAATTATTATTATTTATTTATTTTTTCAGTTTTGGTAATTGTAGTACTTCAACTTTAACATATTTTATTTCAGTTACTTGCCAGGGCAACATTAAATTTTTTAATTAACATAACATAACATAACATAACATAACATAATATAACATGACATAACATAACATAATATAATATAATATAATATAATTAATCTGTATTTCAGTTACCAAAAACTATTTTTAAGTGCTTAAGTGCATTATATAACAAAAATATCAAAGCAAGGGATTTTTATTTTCAGGGTATTTGCATGTTTAAAAAATTAAATGCATAACCTTAATAATATATTTTAAATTAATAAATATTATTGCGTAATTAAAAACATATCAACGAGTCACGCTTTGGAGGTGCAGAAAAGGCAAAATTGAGGGGAATATTTCACCTCCTCAGTCTTCCTGCGCAGGATAAGTTCCTGCTGTCTCTTCTGAGCTTCAAGCAGTTTTAGCTGATGCTGTACAAGAGAAAAACACACAGCACACTGAATGTATTTCACTGTCAGTTTGCTCTTTCATGCTGCATTAGTGTTATTCTCCCATCATGCACCTCTTGTTTGCGCTGGTCCTTCTTAAGTGTGGCGATCTCTCGGTTCCTGCGGGATTCGGCCATCCTGCTCTTCTCCTGCTGCTCCTTCATCTGCTTCATCAGACGCACCTGGCAACAGCCACCATAGCAACAGTCAGCTCATTTCAGTACTGGATTAGCTGTAGGATTCAGGCCATACACATTATTTAGATCAGAGTGTGGACTTGTTTGCAATAGCTACCATACTACTTATATAGCACATAAAGAGAATAGTAAAGTAGTATGACATTCTATTAATGTTATAGTTTAAGTCTTAGAATTATCGTAATAACGTTTCTCATGTAATATGAGGGGGGGGATAACCAAAATTATACATATGATTAACTGTGATCAATTCAATTTTATAACTGGCATATCACAGAATCAATTTGATTTTGATTTAGTATATACAGTACATATACATATATATATATATATATATATTCATGCATTTTCATGAAGGGTAATAATTCTGATACTGATATTATATCTGGAATTGCCAATTTATAAAAATGGAGTACAATTTAAATTAATTTGAACTATTGATATTTTTAAAAGATGTTGATTAGTAGTACACTTGTGTGCTTCTAGCACAATAAATGATATAATTTTGGATGTCAGTGTTTATTTTTATAGTCATCTATAAACAATTTAGTGCAGATTTTGAGAAAAGGAGCCACTGCAGTTCAATGATCTCTGCAGTATGTTGGTGTAGGGGTGCTGCGTCTGTGGACCACTAGGAGGCGCTGTTGATAATCAAATATTTTATGCTGTAATGGTGATTCAGCATGTTTCAGTGATTCAGTGCACAGCCATGTCTCCATGGTGACTCTCACTTTGGTTTTCTTCATATCCGCCAGATCCAGCTGTAGCTTCTTCAGTTGCTTCTCGTACTGTGACTGGTTCTTCAGTAGACGAGCGTGTTCCTTCTGAGCCGCCTGTAGTTTCTGGAGCTCTTTGTTCATGACGCCGAGTTTCTTCTCATACTCTGCTTTTATCCGTTTGGTCTTGTCCTCAGAGCATGACTCCACAGAGCCTAAAATAACACAAAACAAACATACCGCAACAAAACAAAATAAACAACCCCCCACAAAACAAAATACAACAAAATATAACATAAAAAAACAATACAAACAAAACAAAACATAACAAGACAAGACAAAAAACAAAAAAAACAGACAAAAACAAAAAGCCCCACAAAACACAACAAGACAAGACAAAACATGAAACAACACAGAACAACAAAAACCACGAAACATAACACAACAAAAACAAACATAAAAAACAAGCAAATAAACAAAGACAAGAAACAAAACAGAATTTCTTTAGCTTTTATCAGTCCTGACGCAAACATGATCTTCACGCTAGGAGCACTGAATGCGTGTTAGAAGCCATGGCTCCGAAATTAATTTAATAACTTATTGCGTCATATTTTATCATAAAGTCATCATGAAATTTACGCTATTTATGAATGTTTCTGGCCTCATTGTGAATGATTAATTACTGCATGCCCAAAGAAACACTTTAATAATCTTTCATTAAACTTCAATAACTAAGTCAAAAAATATTATTTTTAACCCCTCCCCCAAATGACCAGGATGCATTCTGGTAGCAGTGCCCACTTTTTAAAACTCAATCTATTCCTGATGGATACAAATAAAAACCTACTTTTCTTCTGGTTAAACATATGGCAGATATGAAAACTAAAATGGGCTGTTGCTGGCATGTTATGTTTACATTAATTTGACCCCAGCATCGTGCATCATATAGTGTAGCGGTGGTATATGTGTCCTTACCCATGTTGTGCAGGACACGGTCTCGCTCCAGCTGCGTGTCTCTGATTTTGCTCTGCAGCATCATGAGTTTCTGCTCATACTGTTGCTTGAGCGTGTGCAGACGTCTCTGACTGTTCTCAAGCTCATCGATCAGCTTCTGCTTGATGGCGATCTCACACGTGATGTTGGCCAGATCTGCCTGGAAGTCCTCTAATCAACGCAAAAACAATACAAACACTTATGTTTACAAAAAGACGGGAAAATTGAAATTGGTTTAAAAAAGCAGAACTATGTGTGACCCTGGAGCACAAAAGCAGTGTTAAGTCGCTGGGGTATATTTGTAGCAATAGCCAATAATACATTGTATGGGTCAAAATTATAGATTTTTCTTTTATGTCAAAAATCATTAGGATATTAAGTAAAGATCATGTTCCATGAAGATATTTTGTAAATATTTCCTACTGTAAATATATCAAAACTTAATGTTTGATTAGTAATATGCATTGCTAAGGACTTCATCTGGACAACTTTAAAGATGATTTTCTCAATATTTAGATTTTTTTGCACCTTCAGATTCCAGATTTTCAAATAGTTGTATCTCAGCCAAATATTGTCCGATCCTAACAAACCTTACATCAGTGGAAAGCTTATTTATTTAGCTGATGATGATGATGATGATAGATGATGTATAAATCTCAATTTTGAAAAGTTGACCCTTATGACTGGTTTTGTGGTCCAGGGTCACATATATTATATTTACAAAATAGCAAAACTCTTGTACTTCTTTAATTAAAAATAAGCAGATCTGGCTTACTAAAATCATGTTTTATATTATCATATAGCTTTTGTATAAAGTATACGTAGAAGACTAGTATAAATCTCTAAAAAGCAGTCATCTTATAAATCATATTGAGGTATAGTTATTATTTCACAGTAAACATCAGTACCCTTCTCATCCAGGTCAGAGTCCGACTCATCTGAGCTCTCCTCCGCATCCATGTCCTCTTCCTCAACGTCTTCCTCGTCTTCCTCTCCATCCCCCTCCTCACGGTCACTGGCCTCCTGAGGGAAACCATTTCATGTCAAAGACTGAATGATGAGCTCCACCTTTAAAATGTGTTCTGATAGGGCAAGTGGGCTGTCAATCATACCATCTCTGGCTCTTGATTGGTGGATTCTAACCGCTCTCTCTCGCCAATCTTCTGTTCGCCGTCATGTGTTTCATCTCTGTTGGCACTGCAGGGGGAAATCAAAACTAGGAATTCAAATCTGTTTTTGTAATGTTTTTCAACATATGCTTTTTTTATAAGCAGCATAGATTGTCTGAAACAAAACAGAAAATTAGGAGGGAAGGAAAGATGGTATTATGACAGAAACACATGATGCAACAGAAAAGTTAAATGGTAACATTAAAAAGGATCAGTTCTCAGTTGCTTATTTGCATGCCTATTATTAACACATTGGCTGTTTATTAGGGCTTATAAAGCACATATTCTGCATGACCATATTCTACATCCACAATCCTTCCCAATACCTAAACATAACAACTACCTTAACTATTAATAAGCAGCAAATTCGGAGTTTATTGAGGCAAATGCTGCAGTTAATGGTTTGTTAATAGCGAGATGTGGACTTTAAAATAAAGTGTGACCAAATCTTCCTCTCTAGTTTACTTACACCATTTACTAAAAGCATAAAAAAATACGAACTGAAATATAATATGTTTAAGTTGATGTGCTAAAATTATTAATACTGAATACTACAATTTAATACTAATATACTAACTATGACTACGAATAATAAAACAAAATTACATCTAAAAATGATAAAAACTGATAAAAATGAGAAAAGCACATTAAAACTAATGAAAAACATGAAAACTGAAAATATACAAATTAAATCTAACTCAAAATCATTAATGATTGCTATACCATTATATAAATAATACTAAATCAACCCTGCATCAGAGGATAGTCAATCATAACAGAGGTCATTTACATACAGTCATCAAAGTACAGCAGCAGAGAGAGAACGAAAAATCATCATAAAAAAATAAATGTCCAGTGTTTATGGTAAGAGAACTACAAGTAAACCCTGTTTGGTGAAACATGTGTTGGTGAAATGTCACCCAGACAAGTTCTTGCAAGGTTTTGTGAGATTCACCCACTGCTTTAAGGTGTATTTGAAAAAAAAAAAGAATAATCAAAAGAAATCAAAGCACACAAATGAAGTATAAACATTTTGTGGGCTGTTCTCCAAGACTGGAAACTACCTGCTGAGAGACAACCAGAATGAAAAGATTACGAGCAGAGATGAAACACAGGGGGTTATGGGTAATTATAGAGGGCAGCGAGGGGAAAGAGAGACACAGGGACAAACCTGTCTTCCTCCACCTCTTCCTCCTCATCCTCCTCTCTCTTGTCACTCAGCAGCTGCTGGAGTCTTCAGCGGTCAGAGGTCAGAGGTGAAGGGTGAAAGAGAGGAAACGAGGAGCACAGAGAGACAGAGAGAGAGGGTACGGTACACACATTAGTAAAGATGGCTGGTGATCACATGGAAATGTTCAATGTGGATAAGGACACATCATATTAAAAGATATTATTGCTGATATGATATCCCTAGTTATTTTAGTCCTCCATTGCATAAAACAACACAAAACATTGAGGAAAAACAACATCATTTTACAAAAATATCACAAATAAAGGAAGCTTTTAGAACTGATTCCACAAAATGGAGAGCGAGTGTTATGCATTAAAGGTGAGATCGGTGTATTTTTCCTCCTTGGACTGATGGGAAATGTAGTCTGTTTGCACAATTTGGATAAAAGAGTGCCATTTTGCAGCAAGCTTTATCCCTTTCGGATACATATTTTCAATAGTTTCACTATTTTTATTATGTAAACACACCATTGCAATATTATAAACTTGCAAGAAGATACCATCTGGGAATATATATGTGTAGTGTGCAGTGTGTGTGTGTTGTATCTGACCTCAGTGTGTTTCCCTACTGTTTACCACAGCATGTGTGTTTATATGTTAAACACTGTGGTATCAAATGTTCAAACATGTTCTAATTTGTTACACTGTTTATTTAAATTTCAATTGTTAGAATGGTTTCTTCTATTATTTCGATTTTTTCATTGTTATTATTATGTTTCTCCACATATATTCCATGCTTTGGCAATATAGTATTTTTTACAGCCATGCCTATAAAGTAATGTTGATTTTCTTTTTTATATATATATATTTTTTATATTTGTATTCAATTATATATATATAATTATATATTAAAAAATAAAAGAGAAAATAATTTTTCTCTATTCACCATTAGCAGGTGTGGTAAAAGAACCGTTTACAGTCTTTACGATAATGCTTGACATAGTAATTACGCATCTGAAAGAACAATACAGCTCACCATGAAACCAGACAGATCTCACAATGCTTCTGTTTCACACAGCTAGAGACGAGGGGCAATTATTCATAACACACACTCACTCTCAGCCCGTTACCATGGCAACAGCCCCTCCAGATACCACCTCACACTGAGATCACTTTCACCCTCTTATTACCTCTTCTTTTTCTTCTTCTCCTTCCTCTTCAGTTTCTCCAGATCTTTCTTGGCGATCTCAATGATGTCGGAGGTCTCTTGGCTCGGGTCGGGCCCCAGCAGGGCTGGAGAGAATGTTCCAGACGATCCGTAAAACAGAGGACGGCTGGACACTCGCGTGAGGTTTCTCCTCAGGTTTTCATTCACTGCTTCACTCTCCAGAAGTTTGGCTCTGAAATACACATAAAAATGAAGAGTATGTGAGACAGACAGACAGACAGATGATAGACAGACAGAACATAGATGACAGACAGACAGATAGACAGACAAACAGAAGATAGATGACAGACAGACAGACAGACAGGTAGATAGATAGATAGATAGATAGATAGATAGATAGATAGATAGATAGATAGATAGATAGATAGATAGATAGATAGATAGATAGATAGATAGATAGATAGATAGATAGATAGATAGATAGATAGATAGATAGATAGATAGATAGATAGATAGATAGATAGATAGATAGATAGATAGATGACAGACAGACAGACAGACAGACAGACAGAAGATAGATGACAGACAGACAGATAGATAGACAGACAAACAGAAGATAGATGACAGACAAACAGAAGATAGATGACAGACAGATAGATAGATAGATAAGATAGATAGATGACAGACAGACAGACAGAAGATAGACGACAGACAGACAGACAGACAGAAGATAGATGACAGACAGACAGACAGACAGACAGACAGAAGATAGATGACAGACAGACAGATAGATAGACAGACAAACAGAAGATAGATGACAGACAGACAGACAGACACAGAAGATAGATGATAGACAGACAGACAGACAGACAGAAGACAGACAGACAGAATATAGATGACAGACAGACAGACAGACAGAAGATTGGGGTTGGGTATCGATTGGGTTTTTTACGATACCAGTGCCAAATACATACTTTTAAAGTGGTACCGGTGCCTAAACGGTGCCTGAACCGATACTTTAAAAAAACAAAAGAACTACAAAAAAACAAAATGATGGATAACATTAAAGAACATTACAGACAGACAGACAGATAGACAGATAGATAGATAGATAGATAGATAGATAGATAGATAGATAGATAGATAGATAGATAGATAGATAGATAGATAGATAGATTTAGACAGACAGACAGACGGACGGACGGACAGACATAAGACAGAAGATAGATAGATGATAGACAGAGAGACAGACAGACAGAAGATAGATGATAGACAGACAGACAGACAGACAGAAGATAGATGATAGACAGACAGACAGACAGACAGAAGATAGATGATAGACAGACAGACAGACAGACAGAAGATAGATGATAGACAGACAGACAGACAGACAGAAGATAGATGATAGACAGACAGACAGACAGACAGAAGATAGATGATAGACAGACAGACAGACAGACAGAAGATAGATGATAGACAGACAGACAGACAGACAGAAGATAGATGATAGACAGACAGACAGACAGACAGAAGATAGATGATAGACAGACAGACAGACAGACAGAAGATAGATGATAGACAGACAGACAGAAGATAGATAGATGATAGACAGACAGGAGATGGATAGATGACAGACAGACATATAGACAGATAGATAGATAGACAGACAGACAGACGGACGGACGGACGGACGAACATTACAGACAGACAGACAGATAGATAGATAGATAGATAGATAGATAGATAGATAGATAGATAGAT